ATATCTCCATTGCGTGTGATTCAAAAAAAAAGAAATAATAAGAATTTCTCTGATGCTTATCAAGATAATTCTCAGAACATGATAACAAAAGAAAATATACCTCAGTTTGGTTATCCTGCTCTTATTGTTTTTACTCCTTCAACTTCAACCTGTATAGAGAGAACAAAACATGCAAATAAGAATCTAAGTTGTTTTCTTATAGGTAACATAACTACATATACCTTTTTCCATATAGTCACAGAACTTGGGAATTTATGTCAGTAAGTTCAGATATATGTCATCATGTCCTCTTTTGTTATCCCTTTTCCCTTCCATGTGTATATAGAGAACGAAACAAACTGAAAGAAAAATTCAAGAGCTTCTGAATTTACTGTGGGTCTGGAAATCGTTTGTCATCCTACTACATAAGAAACTAAGAACAAGAGGAAATTTAGGGGATAGGGTTTTATGGCAGAACAAATATTTGTTTCTCCTCACTTAGAGGAAACAACAACAACAACGCAGTTAGAAAAAAAAAACAAATATTTGCACCGAGCTACAAAAGAAATACCAAAGCATTATGAACCTTAAGATGCAAAGTAAGATCCCTGTAAGAATGAATAGCTGAGGATCAGTCTCTTCTTAAATGGAAGATAACTGCTAGAATCTGCTTCTTCTTCCCATACATATTGCTTATTAGACTTTGGGCTCTTCACACAGTATCCTTCAAAACATAGATAAGCAACACATTCTTCAGTTGGTGGAGAGGTGAACATATCAATGATCAAAGTACACAGAGATCACTGCAAATGAATTTGTTCTCCAACCAATAATTACGAATAGAACCCCGCAGTCAATGGAGAGGTATCATGTACCTGTGAAATCGTATGGTCGTCATGCTACGTTGAGTGGTTTGAGAAGCAGAGATAAATCTAAGCGATATCAGAGAAATAAAAAAACCGATGAAATGGTGAATAAAACTGTTAAAATGTTAGTACTCAAGTGTGTTGGAACATATATACAGAGAGATAAACGGAGCTTACCTTGTTCAAGGCTATGTCTCCAATATAAGGTCCTTGTCGTGTTCCATGATTGCGAGAAACACAAAATCAATACCATATATACTAAACTGACAAAACAGAATGCAGAGGACTAAGATATTCAAGAAGGAAAGAAGCAATACCTGTAGATCTTTTGATATTATGATTTGATTTCAGAGGTCTTACGAGGGGCTTTGGTTTGCGATTGGATTGGATTGTGGAAGCAGGTGTTTTGTAAGCTTTCGATCATCAAATAGAGAGACCATTAAAATTGTCAGTGTTGAGTGAAGATCACAAACATAAGATATAGAATCATATAGGAAAAATATTTCATAAAGTGTTTTTTTTGGGAGAACACTAAGTTCCTAAATTTATGATTGAATCATAAAATTTTCATCATCGCCGTTAACACTAGAGGATAAACATACCTACAAATGAACACGCGAGCGTAGCCATTACCAAAGGTCTTGAAGAGAACAACAATGATTTGAATTGTCTGTGTTCCGTGATCTGAAGCTTAAACCTCATGTCCGTGTTCAACTTTGTTTGCCCGCCCTTCTGCTAATCCCACTGGTTAGATCAAATGAAAGTTAGAAACGATTTTGTTCCTAAAAGATTGTAAGCGGAATATCTCTGGGGAAATCAATGAAGGATGAAAGCCAGAAGAGGGAGATGTAAGAGGGTCAGTAAGAGGTTTAATTGCGAGAGAGTATTAGGAATAGTGGGTAGATGTAAGGTGAAAATGGAGGACGTTACACAGGTGGTGATCGAAGGGGAAGAGTCACGGAGGCAGAGCTAAGAGTCTTTGTCGCCGTTTAGTTCCCAAATCGAAGATGGGCCATGAATGAATAGTAATAGCCCAGAAAACTACAAATATAAGCCCAAAATATAAAGACACGTGGCAGCAAATCCCCTATGGAGAGAAAAAAACCAACTTTATTATTATATAGATCTTTTATGGGTTCAGTTGATCTTTTATAAATCTATTTAATAATTATTTTTATCAAAATCCAAACCCCCCAAATTAAATCTTTCACGGTGTTCAAAACTAAACCCTAACATCCCCTATGGATTAGTGAACCCTTGGGCAAATATTTAAATTTTATAGTGACCAAATTTCAAAAAAAATATATTTTAAAATCGTTTTTAATCATATTTTGATGATTTTTGTGAAACTATGAATTTTTTTTTATTTTTGAAATATTTTTATCAAATTCTATAAATCAAATAAAAAATATTCACGTTCCAGTTTAATTTTATGATTTTTCTTTTGACATACAAAATTAAAAGAAATAATGTGTCTTAGAGAGATTAGAGAATGAGATATAGGGGCATGAGAAGAATTGCCTCCAAACAATCTAATGTTAAACCTAACTATACAAATGATATATAACATTCTCAATGGTAATCTTATATTACTAAAAGTGAAATGTACTTATCTGGTTACAATTTTACTATATGGGATAACACTTTAATTTTCGGCTACTAAAATTTATTTTTATTCCTTAGTAGAATTAGCCAAATACAAGTATATAAAAACACATTTTCCTTATTAAAGTTACTGAATACGAATACATAAAAAACACAAGAAATTCCACAAAAACATATTTAACTATACTTTTGAATTTTAGTTTATTATTCGATTTAACTGAATATTTATATTTTAAGTAATTGAAGTAATATGAAAATTTTATAGCTTCATATATTTACAAATTAGTAAAGATAATATGGGTAATACAATAAATGAAAAGAGTGATACACATATTATCTCACGTATCCCTAACAAATATATTGTAGATAAAAAATATTTATTAAAATAAAAAAGTTCACTATTTACTGTACGAAGGCGTTTTTTGTCGGACCGCGTGGTTTTACATGAGGGTCCAAATTGAAGTGCGTTTTTTTAGTTTTTTTTGTATTTAGATGTTTTGGAAACTGTGAGCGTATTTTATGTTTTCCTTTGAAAAAACGCTTTTCTTACACCAAATTCTTAATTAGTGACTGCATTACGGTTTTCTGAATTCCGCGATCCTTAAGTTACCAATCACAACATAAGGTTGTGATTGGTGACAATTTGAAAACGGATTTCAATGCGGAATCGGTAAAAACGTTTTTATTGCACCAATCATACTTTCTATTCAAAGTTGTGCGGTTTTCGTTTTCGTAACTGAAAAAGTAATTCCGCGAATCAATACTTTTTACTGTACTTTATTCTTGGACCGCACTTGATAATGGTTCTACCAATTTACTAGCGGGACGCTTCAATTCTGCAAATGCAAAAAAAAACAAAATAATATATTTTAGGATTTTTTTTGGGTTAACATATTTTTAAGTATTTGTCTTCTACTATAGTTGACTCAGATTTTACTTTATAGTTAATGGTAAACAAAACGTACGACATCGGCAACAAGATGAAATTTGACTATATAATTAATTAATTTAATTCATTAACACCAGAAAGTAATGCAATAGATATATACATACTGTAATAAATACTCTAAACCTAAACAATTAACGAAAATTTGGTATAATTAGTAGTCTCTTCACAAATAATAAATTTGTATTTTAATAAAATACATATCTATACAAAAGGTGTCCGGTCATAATTTTTTTGTATAGTCTTACGCATTCGGTTTTTAGTTCGGTTATGGTTCAGTTTTTTTGATTTTTTTCTAGAAGTATAAGATTCATTCGGATGTTTAAAAGGTTCAGTTCAGTTTCAGTTTGGTTATTTCAGTTTTTGTTTATTTTATTAAAACTACATTTATTAAAGAAATTTCACTTTAAAATATTTTTATTTTACAAATGTTTATTATGTTCATATATTTTTATTATTTTAATATATTATATATTATGTATAATTATTTATTAAATAATTATTCAATACCACAAATATATATCGTCACCAATCAAACATTATTCCGCACCGCCTTTTATTCAAAACCGCAGTTGTCCCGTACCGCTTTCTAATTCCGCACGAACCACAGTTGAACTGTCCCGCATTTTAGTTCTGCACCGTTTTTAATATCAAATCCACCGTCACCATTCGGAACCTTAAATCCCTCGGGGAAGTTATCTTCCTCAGTCAATACATCGCCATCTTGAATTATCATGTTCCTACTATTCACACGATTAGTATATTTAAATTCAAAATTTTCATTTTGGTCTGTGATTTTCCATAAAACTATTTACATTTAAAAAAAAATTGTATTACAATAATTTATGTAGCCTACTCTAGAAACTAGTAAGAAAGGTGCAATTGGTCATTTTAACCCTCTTGTTATATATTACCACATTTTTAATTGTTCTTTCTTATTTTATATTTTTAACATTGAGGATATCCGAAGTCCATAGAAATGCCTAGACTAATACCTAAAGAGGTGATGGAGTCCATGGATGGATCTTCACTCCAAGTATTCAAATGGGGCGTAAACTAGACCCATATCCGCATAACTACAAATTAATATGTACTGGAGTGCTTTCAAATCTGGGTTGTTTAGCAAATTCTAAAATTTACCTACCACTAAACTACTACCTTGTAGTTAACTGCTCTTTCTTATTTGCTAATTAATTGATTCTTTAAAACTTCTATCACATTAGCTCAAAATATATGGAAGTAAAGGTTTTTAAAAGAAAATTGTCAGCGCAATTCTTCAAAATTGAAAAAAAAAATATGATTCAAAATTAGTTATTTTTGAAATAAAAATAAAAAGAGTATAACAAGAAGTAATTCGGTTTGTGAATTTTTTTACTCGACACAATCACCTAAATTTTAACGTTCGAATAGGAAATAGGAAAACAAGAAAACAAAAAGAAAAAGGAAACAACAAAAACAACGTCTGATAAGAAAAATGGAAAATAAACAACCAGAGAAAAGGAAAAGGAATCTTTTAGCATTCGGAGAAACCCTATATAACAACAACAAGACTCACTTATTTCTTCACACCTTCATTCTATTCTCTCTGATTTTGATTTGTGAAGATGGATATCCTTGCGTTTACGTCCTTTGATCAAACCTTTTACCATCATCCCTCACACAAAAACAGAGTTTGCATCAGTTTCTATCAAAGATTCCAGCGATTCGCCGTTGACGAATCCGATGGAACCCTCGTCTGTACTCGAATGGACCCGCCGTTTCATTTTCCCTCCCGTCAAATAAACCTGAATCTCATCAGCCACCAGTTAACTCCGAGACATCTGTTTAGGCACATCGACTCTCGTCTCCATGATCGCACCTTGTCCCGTCGTATCGCAGAAAAAATCGCAGCTGAAGCGGTTCAATACGATGGCTTTAAACAACCTTACGTCATGTCTGTTTATGTCGTTAAGACCGAGCAGGTGGTCTCTCAGAGGGAAGAAGAAGAAGAGGAAGAAGAGTCGACATGTGCCATCTGTTTGGATGGTTTGTACAAGAACGATGAGACGTTTGATTTGCCCTACTGTTCGCATAGGTTTCATTCTACATGTATCGGCGAGTGGTTACAGAGTCATCGTTCTTGCCCTCTCTGCCGTGAAACTCTGCTCGAGGAGTATGTTGAAACTGATTTTGAAGAGGAGAGTCTTTTGTTTTAGTATGTTTTCGTTTTAAAGGGTTTTTGTTTGTTTGTTTGTTTGTTTATCGTAATTGAAACTACTTTTGTTCCAAGACATGTAATGAAAGTGTTCAGATGTTTCGTTAAATCTTTCCTTTTTAAGAGTAATGAAATCTTAGGGTTATAGATTCTACTTTGAGAACTTACGAAACACGCACTGTCCGATGTCAAAAGTTTTTGGAAATCTCAAAGAGTATGTGCAGAAAGCGTTAAACTTCTTGTTGTATAGTCTGAGTCACATTTGTACAGAGACCTGATCCATCTGGTATTATTCTTTTGCATAATATGCTCACAATTATTCCCTTACGAACACAAACAATAATATTTGGTTCTTGCTTTTGAGGTTACTTGCTAAAAGATGTCACAACTTTTCGTTTCTTGAATTTCTAACAAGATTGTATGATGAGAAGCTGATTGTCGAGAAGAAGCAGACTTTGAGAGAGAGAGTCTTTGTTTTCTTTAGCAGTTTAAATACCGATGGACCTCTGAGATAAACTTCTTTTGAGTCAAGAAAATATATATTTTGTGCCTTTATATGATACATAACATGGACATTATAAAGACACAATCATGTTTAAACCTTAAGAAATTAAAATTATTCAAAATTAATTTAGGAAAACAACAAAGGTTTCAGTTTTGCTACACTTTAATCGAACCAAAAAGAACCGAGTTAATACAATTCACCCAAATCTAACTGGTTCAAGAAAAAAGAAACAATCCGAAAGAAAGAAGGAGATAAGTTCGAGAAGAAATGTATAAAGAAAACTAAAATGGTAGCATCGACTATAACTTAGCCATTTATAACATGACGAAGCTGTGGCGGTGTTGCTGCTGGGTCGAGCACTCTGCAACCTCTGAGTTCATAACCTGCTTCCTTACCTGTGAGCAAGTGAGATGGTATCTGATGAGAGAATCTTGATAACTCATCCTTTGGGATGACTTCTGTGGAATCCAAATAATGGCGAAACACAGATTTGAAACCAGCAACTTTCATCAAAGGAACCACTAAAACACCATACTCCTCTGTATATCCTTCAACCACTTCCACTACATCATACGCAACTTCTTTGTCCCCTTCAAGATAGTTGCAGTAACGGGACCAGTTCTTATACATAGCCCATACATCACCTGTTCTTGGGTATATCAGAACCTCTCCCTCATTATTTCCCTTGGTCACCTCCACTTTGTGTGAGAAAAATTTAAGTGAGTCGCAGATATTACTTGCCCCATGGCCCCCATCTATGAAACCTCCGCAAGTTCTTCCAACACCGAAACCAAGCAATTCCGATGACCTGTTGGTCTCTGAAGCATCAAGCCGAGTGATACACAATTTGAATGGTTCTACGGAGAGAACCTTGTCGACCCTGAAATAGACTCGAGGCATCTTCCCCTCTGAAGGGTAGTAAGTAGCCCATATCTGGTTGTCACTAAATGACTTTTCAGTTCGATTCTTGTCAAAGTCACAAAAGTCTGATTCAGGAACCTTTATTGTCATGTCCTTATCAGTACCAGAAGCAGTGTCTATTAGATCTTGCAGCCTTGTGACGATTGTCGGCTTAGATTTCTTCTTCACCATTACATTCGTCAGCTCCTCCTCAGAAAATTCTCCCACACTGTTGGGAGCAAATGAGCTCCCAGCCACTTCATTTTCCATAACCTTTCTTCTTTTTGGAGGATTCGTTGATGGAGTACCAGCCGCCATTTCGGTATACCCTATACGCACAGCCTCGTCTTCCCGTGGCCAGGCCTGATCAGCGTTTATGGTTCCAGTGTACACACCACCCCACTCAGTGGAATCAACAACCATATTGTCTATTCCTTTCTCTCTTCCGTCTGTTAAATGAAGGATAGAGTCAACCTGATGCTCGATAAAGGTCTCACGGATTGCACTTGAGTGTGGAGGATCTGTTTCTACAGCTGTAAACGGCTGACCGCAGGGGGGACACCTGAGGTACTGGTTTAAATAAACACGAGAATACTCAAACCGTGTCTTGCAAGTGCTGCATACAGTCCAAAAGTTTCTACTAATAGTAGGAGCAGCGGGAGGAGCAGTAGAAGAAGAAGAGGCAGATGCATCAATTGCACGCTTCATACCTCTCTTGGGAGTCTTCCCTTTAGCAGAGATCTGAACTCCATTGTTTGTTTGCTCTGTCGGTGAAGCCTCGTTGTTCCTCTTCTTGTCATAGTCAGCTCTCTTTTCCTTGTCCGACAAGGCATCCCATGCCTGAGAAACAAACATAAAGGCTTCCTCTCCTCCGATCGAATTGTTCCTGTTAGGATTAAGCATTTCAGACAACTTTAAGTAACGTTTCTTCACTGTTTCGTCGTCAGCCTCAGGTTTTACACCAAGTACGCCGTAGTAGTCTATCACCCCGTTTATGGTATGCTGTGCAGCTAAATGCATAACAAAAGTAGCCACCATTTCTTTGATTCCAACGATTTCAGGATTCAGGGACTGAGCTTTCAAGGCAAACTTCTTAGCCCCAGCATAATCTTTTGCTAAGAACTTGTCCACTGCAGCACCTCTAGCCCTATCAGCCTCTTCCTTGTTGTAATCCATTTGAAAAGCCTCCGCAATAATGAGACTGATACAAATCAAACACAACATACCTAAAAGGGTAAGAAAAATCTGTAAACCTAAAAGGGACAACTAGAGAATTGAAGGCAGACAGTAAACCAAATCTCATCTCATGCACAAAGATTCCCAAAAAGTGATTACCAACAAGACAGACTAATCAAGTGCACGTATTCAATTTTATGTAAACCATTATTGATTCATAAACATACTGCATTTAAGATTAATCATAGTAAGAAAAATAAAGGAAATGTAACCCTCCCGCATCATTAAATTACCCAATAATGCAAATTTTGACATGAAGTCAGCAGTCATGTCCTTATCAAAGCCATACTAAACCCTAGTTTTGAAGTTATGTCTCCTTGTAATCCTAAAACAATTCAAACGTAGCATCACCCCAAAATACCTTCAAAATTTACCAGATTACCGAATGCATGTTCTTCACCAAGTAAGGATCGAAGTTTAAAGAGAGAACACAACACAGAAGCAAGGAGAAGAAAAAACTTACACAGAGATGGCAAAGGAAAGGTTTCTTTTCGACGAAAATGGAATCGGACTTAGATAAAGCGATCCCAATAGAGAACTGGGTGTCGAAGAAAGTGAAGGATCTTTTCTTCACTATTTCATGTCTCGTTCTATCTTTTATTTTGTCACTAGTGATTTCATTACAAGCGATGTTTGTTGTATTTATAATCTCAAAATTGGGATAGGAAAAAAAGGGAAAATATCGATTTTTATGATAATAAAAGATTTAATTATTCAAAAGGAAAATACAGATTTGTTACTTAAAAAGAGAGGTTGAAATTAAGCTAATATGTTGACCCCAAAAAACAAAAAAGCTAATATATTTTATAGGAATAGAAAGGCGAATATGTGTGATTTGTCTCTAAGAAAGAATACAATGTATTTAGGATAGCCTTGTCACCTTTGTATTTTTTGTGTAGAGTTAAAAAAAAAAAAAAAAAAAAATAAATATATTTCTATTCTTCACAAACACTTCCAAAGATAATATAAAGAATCGGGTAAAATCTTATATACTTTTAAATATTCAAAATGAGTTTACTATACTTTTCATTAATCTACATACTCTTCCACTTTTAATAAAAATACAAAAGCCAATTTTAGCTTTTTCATGTTTTATTAATTTTTCAAATTTCAAGTTTAAGAATTAATTGTCGTATAACTAAGTCAAGTTAGGCGTCAGTTAAACTATTTTGTACTGAATTATATAAAAGGGATGTTACAACTAGGACTGTCTAGATATTTTTACTGAACTGTATACAAGACATTTGCTATAACTCAATAAAATGGATTGTACAACTCAATAAAATGTATTTAGAGTTTAAATGTATTTTACTCTTTTTTATCAAATTTTCTAGTCAAAAACAAGCTGGGTGATTTGGAATGCAACCTATGGATAAGTTTTTGGGCGATCCAAGACTTTTGGTAAGGAAATGAGAAGATATAAGAAGACTTGGTGTTTTACAAAGGGTGCTTACCTACATATGAGCTACGATCTACATAGGATCCACGACCATGATGATTCTAAGCAAATATGGGTTCAATATGGCAATGGATTCTCAAGAGGTGAAGAAATTCATCCAAGAAATGTATTGATAAACCACTTTTTTACCGGTTTCCAACATGTTGAGTCTTTTATATACTAAGAGAGTGTCTTTTGAGGCTTTAGTCATTTATCTAGTCTATTCAGCTTTAGGTTGCTTTAGGAGACAAATGGTCATTTGGAGTGCAAAAGAGTGATTTCGGTATGCATAATTGTGTAGATATATCAGATTGTTAGAAATGGATGGAAGGTTTCACACCACAGTATCAAGCTAAATCTTTGAGAAAAAATAGTCATGTAAATTAGTTTTCATTTGGTGGTGGTTTGAAGGCAATCCAACAGTTTGATCAAAGTATGAGTTATTTCCGTGAACACCTATTGATCTGGCGAGCAGAAGAAGAATGTGCAAAAATATCTGAGTTGCACCTGATCGATCGATTTGTAATCACTGAATCAACTAATACCATGCAAACACGCATGATAATGATTGAAAGCAATGAACCGGTTGGTTCGTAACCCTTGGGAATTTCATGATTATTAAATCAACTAACCCACATGCTTAGGATTGACCATTCTCGTTTATATCGAAAACCGCTTTCCCAAACCGACCCGAATGCAAAAAGAGACGACCCGCTTCGACCAGACACTTATATAAACGATCATACTCGTGTTTTATCGGCGAAGCACCCCCCCCCCCCCCATATTTCTTAGTTCTAAAGCAGACTTTAGAGATTTGTACGCCTCAGAGATAATAGTTTATGCTCTTCCTTAGAGAAGAATTCTAAGCTCAGTTTCTATCTCTTTATCTGTTAGAATGCATTATTCATTTTCTTCTTGTGTTCTCGCTTCCATGTATGAGTAGTCTTTTAATGAAGCTTAAGGTTTATTTTTAGAGAATTTCATGGATTTTTGAGATTGATATATTAGAGAGGGAATAATCAAATAGGTTCTTCATCTAAATTGTTCTTAATATTTGAACTTGACTGCACATCATGTTCATGATATCTAGGTTGTTTAGTTCACCAAAAGTGTTCGATTAATGTATGAATGAAGTTTAAATGAGGAAGTATTCTTAGCCAATTGGAGTTGATATTATGGATCTTTCATTTACCAAACTTGATTGAATGCTGGTTTAGAGTCTGCAATTCAACATGATTTAGTCTTTACGATTCTATAACATATGGTCGCACTTCGCGAGAGGGTTAGTCTATTTAATTTTGTTTGAGTTCAAGGTATGTACGTAATACATTCTCTATCTAACAAATTGTTTCATAATCCGTGTTTCTTGAGAATTACCCACTGCCTAAAATGTCTTTACATTTGTCTTTTACGTTCTTGCAATTGAAAACAAAACAAAAATCTTTTCGTCTTAGCTCTGCTCCACTCTCGTAAAATCATCAGTGCCGGTCCGGACTTCACGGGCGCCTAAAGCAGACTAGGAAAACGTTGCCCCTTTGCCTATAACTAGATTTTTATATATCTAAAGAAGTAATAGTTTCAAATACTAGAAAACTGAAGTTGTTTAAGAAGATAAAATACAAAAAACATCAAACCATTATTTGGGTTCACCTTCTCTGTTTTTCGCTTCCTATTTGCATTCACTTGGGTGATTTCTTATAATACTTTTAGTAACCTTTTTTACAAATCCAAAGAAACAAAGAATAAAAAAGTTTATAGATAAAGAGGAACATATACAAAATCACTAACTTCAAAAAACTTATTTTTCATAGTTTGAGAAACTATTTTAATTCTCTAATAGTTTTAAGTTACTTGTATTATTTAAAAGTTTCTAGGAAAATTACACAAAAAAAGAAGAAATAAAAAGAAAGAATTACATAAGATACCCATAGAGCTGTTCCAAAAAACATCTATTACAAAAAAAAACAGTGGAACTGAATTATCATTAATATAATATGCATAATAAATAATTAGGTTGTTGGAACATGTAGCTAAATCTTCTTTATTGATATATATCTTTAGTATTCTCAGAAACGGAAAAAGTGTTGTTATTATCAGAAAAGGAAAAGATGGACGTGATGTTCAAACCTCTTAGGATGAAGACATGAAGAGGAGACCAGAAACACTAGACCACCGTAAACCTTACAACTGCTGGTGCCCCTAAAGTATTTATTATTTCGGGCGTCTAAAACCCTAGTTTTATGGGCTTTAACCCAGGGCCGGCCCTGAAAATCATAGTGTAACCTTGGTCTATTGATCCCTAAAATGCACTTTCGGTTTCTAATAGGGGTAAACCTAATTACATAATATAGTTGTACTTTAAAATCTCATCTGTCGAAATAGATAACGAATATAAAAGCCAAATTGGTAAATCTGACAAACACTAAGCTATGGTGGTGGAGGTGCCATGCAAATATTGAGTGAGCGATGTTCAGGTGGACAATTGTGGGAGATGGATTATACTCCTCCGCAAGGCCCATCGAATGGGAGAATTTAGCCCAACGCGATAACGTATTCGGCCCATTAACCTTACTAGAAGCGACTCGGCATGACGACGCGTTTAGAAGCACAGCGAAGAGCGTCTCAAAGGGTCAAGCAAAAGACGGTTTACCCGGATACGCTAAACGGGCCCAACAGGAATAGAGTCCAGTAAGGCCCGGGCAAATTAGGGCGAACACACAGACATGGTCTATATAAGCAAGAAGGCAGCAAAGAGAAAGGGGATCCGGAATTCGACATACTCACTTGGCGGCTAGATCTAGGGTTTCTTAGTGATTAGGTGGTTAGATCTAGGGTTTACTCACCCTCTCGTTTAGTCACCTCCCTATTTAGTCACCTTCCCGTTTACTCACCATCTTGTACTTCCGACTAGTCCGTCGATTTACTCTCCTCTTTGTAACTCCTTGTTCAGATCTAATAAAAACGTCTTTGTTCGCCCTCATCTCTCTCTTTATATTGTTTCGAACCATTTTCACCTCAAACAATTTGGCGCCCACCGTGGGGCCCTGAACAAAGCAACGTTATCAGATCTAGACATGCCTGACGACGGAACCGCCTCCGGAACCGCCGGCGAGGAGCCGACTCAGACTCCCGTGCCCGAAACCCCTCTTCCTCCCGACTTCATGAGCTCCGTCATGGCGCGTTTCGCCAGACAAGACGAAATACAAAAGGAGACTCAAGCTCAACTCGCCGCACTCGTAGCAG